AAATGCCCAAGAGCAAGAATTTCATCTCTGGAAGCCACAGATGCTTGTTGTGCGGCTCGATTGTCAGGGGATCGCAATTTGCACTGTTCTCTGGTGTGCAGGATTGTCACTGTTGAAAAGGGATAAGGAACAGTTTATCAGGAATCTTGCAGAGGAAGTCAAAAGCCATTTCCTAGTAAATGACCTTCGCCCTGCCTACCAAGCCCTGAGAAAGCTGAACTCCAAGCCCTCCTCACAGACGACTGCAGTCAGCAAGTGGCCAGATAATCTCAGATCCTGATGGGGTGCGTTGGGCTGAGTCTTTTGAGCAGATGTATCAGGTTGATCCACCAACAGTTAACATGGATGTGGGTAATGTTGAGATTCCTCTGCCAGACCCACCCATCAGCGAGGATCCACACTCCCTGACTGAAGTCAGGTGGGCGATTTCCAAGCTGAAGAGTGATAAAGCAGCAGGTGTTTGTGGCATCCCAGCTAAATTGTTAAAGGCTGGTGGAGAACCTATGACAAGGGGCTTGCATGCAGTCCTGTCTGCCATCTGACAGACCGGTACCATTCCCCCTGACCTGCTGAGGGGTGTGGTCATCCCTCTCTGAAGGGAAAAGGGAATCGGTGGGACTGCAGCAATCACCGAGGCATTACACTACTCAGTATACCAGGCAAGGCACTTACGCACATCCTACTGAGAAGTATCTGTGCTGTGTGGTGCTGCGGTAGCATTCTCGTCTAGCAATCTTACTGACCTGTGTTCAAATCCCTCCCCGCCAATGGATGGTAACCCCGGCCATTCCTTGCACACAGTTGATAATTTAGAAGCAAAATAAAACAGACAGCACGTCAGCACAAGAATATCCATTGTAACAAATGGAATCAAACTAAATTATTATTGTTATTATTATAATTATAATTAGTAATTATTATCAGAGACCACCTGCTGAGGCACCAAAGGCCAGAGCAATCTGGATTCACTCCTGGTAAGTCCACAACAGACTGCATCCTGGCACTTCAAGTCATTGTAGAGCGCCGTTGTGAGTTCAGACGTGGGTTGCTCGCAGCCTACATCGATCTCAAGAAGGCGTTTGATACAGTGCATCACGAATCACTCTGGGAGATCCTGAGGCTAAGAGGAATTCCAACAAGGATTGTTTGATTAATTGCAAACTTGTATACAGGTAAGGTGTGGTGGGAGCCTGTCGAGCTTCTTCCCTGTTAGTTCAGGTGTGAGGCAAGGCTGTGCTCTTGCACCAACACTTTTCATCACTTGCATGGACTGGATACTGGGTAGAGCTACTGTCCAAAGTCACTGTGGAGCAACTCTGGGCAATATCAAGGTTATTGACCTTGATTTTGCTGATGATGTTGCCATTCTATCTGAATCTCTGGAAACCCTAGTGGCAGCTCTTGATGCATTTAGCAATGAAGTGAAGCCCCTGGGGCTAGAGGTCTCCTGTACCAAGACCAAGATCCAGGATTTTGGGGGCCTGCACTACTGTGCAGTCAGTATGTGCATGTGGTGAAAACATCAAAGTTACAGAGTTTTTTATACCTCGGTAGTGCAGTTCACGACTCTGGGCTGGCCTGGCTGTGGAGGGATTACAAAATTCAATCCCCTTTGGCTGGGCTAAATGGAGTATTCAAGATATTTGTAAAGGTAGGTGATAGGTGATAGTAGGTATTGAGGAGGGGGTAGTAGTAATAGTGTTCAGAGCTGTGGTAAAGGAGAGCCTGGGGTCAGGGAACCAGAATTTGAATCAGTGAGGCTATCTCATAAAGGGGCAAGCCTCATTACCCCTAATAATGGTATAAAGTTTTCATTACTGGCCATGGTAAGCCTGGAGTATGTTAGGGAGAGAAATAGTCCACTGCTCAGGATCCCCTTGAGGAGTAAGGGCTAGACAACTAAACAGGAATACTGTGCCCATGGCACATAGAAGGATGGTAGAAGGTTTTGGATAAGAGAGGGAAACGAAAAGGGAGCCAAGGGCTGAGGCCCAGGGCAGGGATGATCCCCAGAATTGAGTCCAGTCTCCATCTCCTAAGCTCTTCCACAGCAACAACAGGCATCAGGGGGCCCAAGGGTTTCCATGTCCTATGTCCCCCATGATAACAACAGCCAGGGGATAAGGAGGTTAAACTTACCAAAAGACACATCAAAATGTCATAATTTTATTGATTTGGAAATAATCCAAATACAAAGAGATAAGATTAAGAATCTTAACTGAAAATCTCAGTGACAAGGAAATGGTAAAAAATGTAAGGAAATTTTGATTAGAAAACAAACACACACACCTATAAAAGAATAAACTGTTCACTATTTCATAAAAAAGAGCAGTAAATATTACTTTACTTTACACATTGTAAGAAAAGTATCCTTGCTTCTTTGTAAAAAACTTCTCTTGGTATTTATCTGTAAAATAATATAGGTAAGCAAACATTCATAAGAATGTTCCTAAGGCATTCGTTACACAAAAAACCCGTCCTGTATTTGTGAAGATGTCTGAAGACAAGTAAGAAAACAATTTCATACTTGCTCCTCTCTATCAGTAAATAATATATAAAACTAATTCAGTGGCATCACCAGGATGAATTCCATGGAAGGGGGGAGTCCAGCCGGAAATACAGGGAGGGGAGACACAGATACTCCCTTCTTCTGGGTATGCTTACAACAAACAGTGAAAATGCGGCATGGCACCACTGAAATAATGTAGGCCATGGCCCCCTATTGCCCTTCTCCATGATGGTGCCATTGAACTTAACTGACTTTTTTTCTCTTTGAGTTTATTCTTCAATATTAGAAGAATTCATAAACTTCTGAACATTTTCCATTAAATGTACTAACATTGCAGAAACAAAATACTGACCATATCAAGATATCACTGCATGTTTATATATGAATTCAATTCCCAACTGTGAAACAGAAAATACAAAACTCCTCAAAGTCACATACACTGGGATAATAATTATTCTCCTCTCTTTGCAGTGACATATAACACAATTTTAAAATCTAATGTAATATAATTCCTTTAATAGTCCTATAATGGCTTATGAAGTAATTCTCCATAAAGAATACAATGCTATTTTGTGAACAAAAGTATTCACATTAAATGCATGTTCAGGGTAATGGTGATTGGTATCACTGCATATTAACAATATTCAAAATGCACAATTCCATTTCATCAACACAAACTGTCATGGTATGAAACGTTCTGAATGAACTAAAAATCTAATCAATGCATAATTATAACCAAAATTATCTTAAGGGGAACATCATTCTGTTGCCATATAGCCTCATAGAATCATCCTTATTGGTGGTAGATCTTATTATTCTACATCCTTTGATACTAGATTCCAGGGTTTTACAATATGAGGGCACTGATGCTGGGAGGGATAAGTACAATGCACAACTACTTTGATTTTAGCTTATTAATTTAGGTTTAAATATCCCAATGGTGCCGGGGAAAATGAACAAAAAATGGGGAAAATATAGAAAATATAGTGCCCACTTTCTATGTTTTTCGTGAAATGTCTGCCGATAGATGGCTCTGCTAGCGCCTGATTTAAATGGTGGGAAAAATGTATTTTTCACTAGTGCTATGAAAATCGAAGGTGTTATTTTTATCATAAACATTATAATTTTTATATTTTTTTTTAACATTGGTAACAGCAAAATAAGATTACGTAAAATATTTTGTAAATCAAAGAAACAGGTAAACGATCGAGACGGGCGGTGCTCGTAACTGGCTCATTGGGGAGTTAGTACAAGTGTTGCCATCTATGCGTAAAAACAATCAAACAAGTACTCACTGTGGGCATAGCACGTACGTACACGTCATACACGGCGCCAAGGGGTTAATGATGGTTCTAGAAGTGACCATGGAGTCACTTATCAGGTACTCCCAAACTCACATGCTTTTCAGAAGCATGTATTTTTAATTACTATATTAGTATTGTTATTTATATAATAAAAATCATTATGATAATTACAATAATAACAGTGATGATAATAATAGTCTTTTTAAAAAATCACAAAATTCAAGGAATGAGTCATCAGATGAAGTCAAGTAGTCCTACCAATTGACTCCCTGGTAACTAAGCACTTGTAGAAGTATCTATTTGCAAACTTAATTTCCAAAACAAAATCATGGTGGACACCGCATCTAGCAAGCACCAATGGTGCATAAAATCCCACAAATTTTTTTTTACTGAGTTCCTTTTTCATAGCATCTACATGAGCAATCATTAAAACAAAGTAAATCTATAAAACATTATCTCATGTAAATTTCTGGAAATTTTTTACCACCTCAAGGGACACCAATAAATACCAAGACTTTAGATCTACATTCATAATCAGTCCCAACCCAATCTTGACTATCCCAGCCTAAATCTATTTTATGGTCCCCTTGACCTATTCACAACGGGGAAAAGGAACAAAAAATGGGGAAAATGCTGTGCTCATTCACCTTTACTTGAATTGGCGGGAAAATGTATTTTTTACTAGTGCTATGAATATCGATGATTATTTTTATTATAAACATTATAATTACTATAATGTTATAAACATTAGTAACAGCAAAATAAGATGATGTAAAATATCTTCGTAAATTAAAGAAAAGGGTAAACGGGCAAGACAGGCAGTACTCGTAACTGGCTCATTAGTGTAGCCATATATGTGTAAAACAATTAAACAAGTAAACTCACAGTGGGCATGTCACGGATACGTAACACCCGTCGCAAATGGGTTAACCCAATGCCGACGGGCATGATGTGTATGTACGTGCTTTGCCCACTGTGAATACTTGTTTGATTGTTTTTACACATAGATAGGTACACTTGTACTAAGTCATCAATGAGCCTGTTTCTTTGATTTACGAAAATATTTACGTTGTCTTATTTTGCTGTTTTTAATGTTTATAACATCATGGTTTACAATAAAAATAACACCATCGATATTCACAGCACTAGTAAAAAAAACATTTTTCCCGCCCATTCAAATCAGGTCTACTAATTGACTCCTTTGTGGCTAAGCACTAACAGAGCCATCTATGGGCAGAGACATTCACCAAAAAATATAGAAAATGAGCACAGCATCTTTCCCATTTTTTATTCATTTTCCCTGGTGGCATTGGGTTAAACACAAAAGATTAAAACAATATTCTCAATGTGAACTCCAAGGTCAGTCCATACCCACAAGTTCTCACCTGGAAACAAATTTTCAAAGATATAAATTTGATTCAATTTATGAAAGGAGGAGTTCTAATGGCAAACAGCATCAGTATACTGACAAGATTTTAAAAGATTACAATATCAAAAAAGAAAGAGCAATGCATGTAAATGAAAAATCCACTACATTTACTGAAAGTAATTCTATGCCTATAAAAGATGTTTTACTTTTCTTCCATATATCCTTTTATACTATATGAAATCAGCTACTAAAAAGAGAGAGAAAAAAATCCATTATCAAGCTATGAGACTCATCTATAAGCATAAAACAATAACCACAACAAACTATGACACAAGATTCCTTATTAAATTTCTTATATTTGTTTTATGGAAATTTGTAATTTCATTTGTTTGACACCACGATTATCATACAATCAAATATCTGTCAAACACAGACCAAAATGTACCAATAATCCATTTGTGACAAATTCTCCTGGCCTCAACAATAGACAGCAAAACAATAAAGGAAAGAGAGCTGCAGTCAATAGAGGTATTTTATATATGTGCACATTGGTTTAATCTATTTTTCAAAAAATTGAGAAAATGCCCATTTTAAAGCAGATCTGTGAAAAACAACCTAAAATTCATATAATCCTCAGGTAAGAGAAAAAATATCACAATATTTTGTGCAGTGTACAATACAACTATATGTTGAGCTTCTGTTGTAGTTTAGGAAAGTTGTGATCATTTTTGAAGAAAAATAACATGTAAACAATATTTGGTTACAAAATCACAGCAAAGGCAGTTTCCATCCATTCTGATTTTACTTGGGGACTTACCCAAAGAGATCTGTCTTTAAATAAAAGCTAAAAGTATCACAGAACATGAATGAGATTGGCAAATAATTCCAATTCCCTTTTGTAAAGGGAATGGTCCTATTTCTTTATCAAAATTAATGTCTCATTACAGATAGACTTAGTACTAGAAGAATGACTGAACAAACAGAACCTGTCAAGGCCAAAGTTTCTAAATGAATATTATCACATGATAACATTTCAATATGGAGATCTGGAACAAGATTTTCCATCTTCACAAAATGCAAAATCTGCACAGCCCACTGTGAAAAGTTCAATGAAACCAAATTTACTCTACTGAATCTACAAAGGACTGACAAGTATTCAGCTGCTTGAGTAACCAAATATCTGATTATGATGTGTATTATAAGATTGGTTGCCAGTATGGTGCCTTTCAGCCTGGGGAAGCAGTTGATGGAAGCTGACAGGATCATGACTTGAGCTACACTCACCATGCCACAAAGAGGAATCATAGCAATGATCAGGTGTTGACTTAAGCCTTCAAAGAGAATCAGCTGAAAGAAATGAAAAAAAATTAGAAATCATAATAATGACTCTGCTATGTGTATGCTGCTATGTAAATTACCTTAGGCAGATTAAATGCCTTTTATAAATCCAACTGACTAAAGCATACATATTTAACACAAAAAAATCTCTTATTCCTTTTATAAGAAAATGGATAGAGAATGAAAATTAATGCTAAGATGTACAAGTCCCCTGGATGCAAATGAATGATGCTGTAGATGCTTTGCTTAAGATGCTGTTGTTACAAATGAAGCTGGATCCTTATCTGCTGTCCAGGAGTTATCACACTGGCTTAATAGCCTGGATTTCTGCCCCATTCAGAATGAAATATTCTTGATTTTCTGTCCCTATTCCTAGTGTCTAATAAAGATGGTCCAAACCCAAGAATATGGCAAGATTGTATAAATGCCCAAGATTCAAAATTATCAATAAAAGTTATATTGGAAATATTTGGATATACGGTCCTTTATGTATGGTACTATTTTGAATACAAAATTATAGTAATTTTTTTTGGAAATTACTGTGTTTCTAACAAAGATCACAATTTATTTTTAAAATAAGAGCTTATTTTGTTAAGAGTGAGTATGTGGACCACTTGCCATGTGAAAGTGCAATCTAGAATGCTAGTCCATCTTCAATGGATGTCAAGAATCCATTACTAGGATTTCTCCATATGATAACCCCTTAAAAATTATATACCTTAACTATACTTGTAAACTGTAAAGTGGATTTTTCTACTCTATGCTAAGTATCTAACCAACTTCCAATAAATGTGGACATTTCATTAATCATAAATATCAAACTGTCACATACCAATGCCGGATAGATCAGTGTAAGGACAGCAGCCACAATGACAGTGACAGTCGCTGGAGATGTGAAGAACAAAAGCACAGGAGTCACCACTGCTTGTATACACAGGAGTCCCACTGTTACTATCATGGATAAGCTGACTCCCTCAATA